AGAAGTCAGCGCCCGGCGCGGCGGCCGGCGCGACTATTTAGCAAGCCAGAGTCTCGTTCGTTATCGGAATTAACCAGACAAATCGCTCCACCAACTAAGAACGGCCATGCACCACCACCCACAGAATCAAGAAAGAGCTCTCAATCTGTCAATCCTCACTGTGTCCGGGCCGGGTGAGTTTCCCCGTGTTGAGTCAAATTAAGCCGCAGGCTCCACTCCTGGTGGTGCCCTTCCGTCAATTCCTTTAAGTTTCAGCTTTGCAACCATACTTCCCCCGGAACCCAAAGACTTTGGTTTCCCGCAGACTGCCCGCCGCGTCATTGGAGTAACGCCGGCGGATCGCCAGTCGGCATCGTTTATGGTTAGAACTAGGGCGGTATCTGATCGCCTTCGAACCTCTAACTTTCGTTCTTGATTAATGAAAACATTCTTGGCAAATGCTTTCGCAGTCGGTCGTCTTGCGGCGATCCAAGAATTTCACCTCTCACACCGCAGTACGAATGCCCCCGTCAGTCCCTCTTAATCATTACCTCGAGTTCCGAAAACCAACGCAATAGAACCGAGGTCCTATTCCATTATTCCATGCTCTGCTGTCCAGGCGGTCGGCCTGCTTTGAACACTCCAATTTTTTCAAAGTAAACGTTTCGGCCGCGCTCGGCACTCAGTCAAGAGAACCGGGCGGAGACCGAGAGGAAGGCCAGGCTGGCAGTGGCGCGCCTTGCGGCGGACCGCCAGCCTGCGCCCAAGATCCAACTACGAGCTTTTTAACTGCAGCAATTTTAATATACGCTATTGGAGCTGGAATTACCGCGGCTGCTGGCACCAGACTTGCCCTCCAATAGATCCTCGTTAAAGGATTTAAAGTGTACTCATTCCAATTACAGGGCCTCGAAAGAGTCCTGTATTGCTATTTTTCGTCACTACCTCCCCGTGTCGGGAGTGGGTAATTTGCGCGCCTGCTGCCTTCCTTGGATGTGGTAGCCGTTTCTCAAGCTCCCTCTCCGGAATCGAACCCTGATTCTCCGTTACCCGTTACGACCATGGTAGGCGCATAACGTACCATCGAAAGTTGATAGGGCAGACATTCGAAGGATCCGTCGCCGGTGCGAGGACCGTGCGATCGGCCAGGTTATCCAGAGTTCACCAACGGAGCCGGGACGAGCCCGGGTTGGTCTTGTTCCTAATAAAAGCACGCCTCCCGTAAGGTCGGCGCTTGCTGGCATGTATTAGCTCTAGAATTACCACAGTTATCCATGTAGGAGGATGCGCTCCAAGGAACCATAACTGATTTAATGAGCCATCCGCAGTTTCGCTTGTAAAAGCTTTTACTTAGACATGCATGGCTTAATCTTTGAGACAAGCATATGACTACTGGCAGGATCAACCAGGTAGCCCTCTCGGGGCCGTGCGGGCCGCGCCCGCCTCGCCGGGGCGGGGCGCGCGCCCGTCTCTCTCGGGCCGGACGCGCCGCGGCGGCCTGGGCCGCGGCGCCGGTGTCATTCTCTCTCTCGAGCCTCCGCACGGGCCGTTCGGCTCTCTCTCTGTCTTCCGGGGCCGTCCCGGGCGGGCCCGCTCTTGCCCGCCCGGCGCCCTTTGCCCTCCGACTCCCCTCGTTTCAATCCCGCGGTCCGCCGGGTCCCCCCGGGGAGGGGGCCCGCCTCGGTCCGCCGCCCGGCGGGCTGCTGCCCGCCGCCCGTTCCGCCGCCGGGGCTGCGGCTCGGCGCCCCGCCTGCTGCCGCCCGCCGCGGGAGTGCGGCGGGCGTGATCGGGGGTCCCGCCCGGCGGTCGAGGTGCGAGGGGGCCTGGGCTCCCCGACTCTCGTCCGCCCGCGCGGGCCGTCTGATTGCCATGGGTTCCGGGACCCGGCGGGATGTCGGGGCGGACCCGCCCCACGCGGGCGGGCCGGCCCCGGCGCTCCCATCGCACCGTGCCGGGCCAATCCGAGTGCTGGCCGGACCGAAGGCCCGAACTGCACGACAAGAGGGAGGGGAGCGGCCGACGCTCTCCGCCCGGGGGCCGCCGCGGGGCCCCCTCGGTTCTCCGTCCGTTCCAAATTTTCTCCCGAAAAAAAAAAGTCCGAGGGTCCCGACCCACCGTGCCCCGCCGCAAGGCCCACGGGGGACTCTCGGGGGCCGGCCCGCCACGCCCGGCCCCGCCTCAAACGCTTCGGACTTGCCTCGCAAAAAGTCCGAGGGGACCCGACCCACCGTGCCTCGCCGCAAGGACCACGGGGGACTCTCGGGGGCCGGCCCGCCACGCCCGGCCCCGCCTCAGAGGCGTCGGACTTGCCTGCAAAAAAGTCCGAGGGGACCCGACCCACCGTGCCACGCCGCCTGGCCCACCGGGGGACTCACGGGGGCCGGCCCGCCACGCCCGGCCCCGCCTCAAACGCTTCGGACTTGCCTGCAAAAAAGTCCGAGGGGACCCGACCCACCGTGCCCCGCCGCCTGGCCCACCGGGGGACTCTCGGGGGCCGGCCCGCCACGCCCGGCCCCGCCTCAAACGCTTCGGACTTGCCTGCAAAAAAGTCCGAGGGGACCCGACCCACCGTGCCTCGCCGCAAGGCCCACGGGGGACTCTCTCGGGGGCCGGCCCGCCACGCCCGGCCCCGCCTCAAGCGCTTCGGACTTGCCTGCCAAAAAGTCCGAGGGGTACCCGACCCACCGTGCCCCGCCGCCTGGCCCACCGGGGACTCTCGGGGGCCGGCCCGCCACGCCCTGCACACTCTGGACTTCTCCTGCAAAAAGTCCGGCCCGACCCACCTTACCGAGCCCGTCTAGTTCCTCTCGTGGGTCGGACACAGGGGATTGCCCATGTGGTGGCCCGCTCCATATGTTTTGTGCACAGCTCTGGACCACCACCCCCTTATATATAGGCACACCATGGCGATTGCCTCTCTTTGGGGCTCTCCCATAGGGTTGTGTAGAAAAAATTCCTTAAATCGGCTGTCGAGTTTGGGGCGAGTTGGTCGCGTGGGCCAAACAGCGCGATTTGCCCACGACGGGGACTCCGGCGCCCGTTCTCGGACTCGACCCAATCCGTACAAATGTCGCGTTTTGGGGGCGACTTGTGCGGGCCGTCCGAAGCGCCCAAAAGACCCACTGGAAGGCTCGGCCCCGTCCGGTGAATTTTTCCGCTTCGGACTTTTCCTCCAGAAGTCCGAGAAGACCTAAACACCGTGCCTGGCCCGAAAGGCCCGTGGGGGACTTCCGGGGGGCCGGTCCGCAATCTCCGGTCGCGCCTGCATCTCCTCGGACTTGTGCTCCAGAAGTCCGAGGGGCCATACCCCACCGTGCCTGTCCGCAAGGCCCACGGGGGACTCTCGGGGGGCCGGTCCGCGATCTCCGGTCCTGCCTGCATGTCGGACTTGTCCTCCAGAACCGTGCCTGTCCGCAAGGCCCACGGG